CTTTTCAGAGCGTATTGCTCTTAGCCAACAGAAGTAATCCTTTCCGAAAAGAAGCTCAATACGAGACGGATTTACTGTAAGCGCTGGACAATGACTAAGGAAGCACGTCTTCAAGTTTATTCCGTTTCGGACTTTGTGTTTTGTTTGATCTAACCAGGGTTCTTATCCAATCAAATCTCATCCAGAATCAAGAGCATATTCAATTTGTAATCTTGAAATCCATAAATCAGATCTTATTTCTGAGTGGATAGGATTGGGGAGGGGGCGGAGGAGGATAACTAGAGATAACTGTGATTCCTGAAAATAGTTAATGAAGGAAAGAAGTGCTCCTTGAGAAGATACAATGGAAGAAGGAAATTTAAACGAAAAACTTCGCTCCTCTCAAACGTCGATAACGTCCAATTGAATGCGAACAAACGGGACAGACATGAACAAAATCAGCGAAACACACTAAAAAACACGGAATCGGCGCACATGGCCACAAGAATAAGAGTATCATTAGGATGGCTGAAACATACGCGAACACACCCATTGTTGGATACGGTTTTGTGTCAACCAGATTCTGAAATTTCATTACATTCATTCTATTGCTGTCACTTTTCGTGGCATTTCAGTCAATCAATTCAGTGAGAAGAACCAATTGCTATGGTTATTATTTCCGGTGTTTGTGGAAAATTGTGAGACAATTTGAGGAGGATGAGGAGGTTTATCAACTCCTGTTAATGGTTACTATCGGTGACAGGTGCTTTCTGAATAAGATGAATTTTAACGATTGGAGAACCTTATCAGGGATCCATCATCAGTTCACACACTCGTAATATTTTATGATGTGATAAAGTAGCTGATTTAATAATCATATGGTAATTAGAATTTGCGATGGTAAAATTCTCATAATCAGACTTACACGACAACGACTGCAGAAAACACGCACAGGTTTGGTACGGAAGTTTAGATCGGTTTTTGGTAACGTTCGTCGCTTTTCACTCTTTGACGAATCAGTCAACTTTGCATGATAATGGTTTGATAGCGAGTTTTTGCTAGTCGACTGCAAATCTATTACGTTTCATCTAGTTCGTTATGTGCTCACATTAGGAAATCTGTGATACGCACAAGCTTTAGTAACATTGGGAGAAACACCAATGGGATATCGTTGATATCGTAAAAATATATCGTAAATGGCTATCGTAATGGCTCCTGATATCGTAAAAATGGCTCCTGAAGAAGTTTTACAATGGAAATTAGTTGCCGTCTTAGAAAGAATGCCTTTGAATCAACACGCTCTCAGAGGGAGATTCAAAGGGCGAGGACTTTTGGGATAAGATATTGGGCATCTCGTGAACATTATCTGATAGCGAAGCTTGCACACTACAAAGTAGAGGACATGTATTCAGGTAAAATTATAGCGAGAGTAATTACATAAAAACACAGATCACTGCTCACCAATTGGTGCTGATCAATTGGATGTCGATAAGTTGATTGTCTATCACTCTTGGACAATCTTAGACCGACGAACTTATGTGGACTCTTGTGATTCGAGTCATCATCCAGATGAACAGTGCTCATCTGCCTTATAGACAGCGTTGATGGATCCTTCTGATAGCCTCCTACGCTAGTGATCATTCTAGTTTTGCGATAATTCGCCCCGGATATGGTGGCCAAAGTTTTCCATCTATGTGCATAACGAAGTGTCAGCTGACGTCGTTCACTGAATAAAGCAAATGGATAGCCACAGCGATATCATGAAGATATGATGGTATTGAGAGCTTAGAAATATAAAAATTCGATCAGTGAAACGAAATCCAGTGTCGACAGAGGGGATCAACGAGCTGAACCATGAACTAAACCCTGCTGCAGGGCTAAGTTTGGGTTAAAGTTAACGTCTGAAATGCTTACAATTGGTGAAGGCTTCAGAATATGCTTTGCATAATGTTCATTTCATTTTTTCATATTGATTTCGAATAAATGAAACGATTAATAAAAAGAGTCGCGTTTGTATACAATGTACAATGAATTATTTCACAATCAGTAGATTTTAAAGTAAATCTGCATTTGAGGTTAAAAAAAATACCGTTTCGTAGATTTGAGGTAAATCTGTATTTGAGGTTAAAAAAAATTTCATACCGTTTCGCTGCTTTTCTCCCACCGTACGATACTTCAATCATGCTCAGCACAATACCAACGCCTATACCACCCGAAACAAGGATGAAAACATCTGAAAAAAAATTTTTTCCGACATCTGTAAGGCACTATCATATTTACGAGTTCTTTTGAACATCAGATCTTCTATTTATTCTTACTCACTTGTTATGGCTTCTGAGAGCATTGATTCTGCAGATAGAACGATATTGAACTCTTCGAAATAATATACCACTAAATGAAATACCTCTCATATTGGTAAGTCCTAAGCGAGCCGGAGACTTCGGTGGGCCTTGGATGCACTCTTTGGATGACGGCGATGTTATCCATTTTTCGTATAATTCCTCCATTTTACCATCTCGAAGTAATGAATTATCTTATTATTCTATTAAAATGGAACAATTTTAGAAATTCACTTAATTTCAAAAGTTCATAGCCAAGCAATATTCAGCACCGCGAAATTGTTAACGTCTTAACACCATAATAAATATTCACTGATTGTCCACAGCAATCATTCGGTTACAATTCCTTTTTTTCGGAAGCTTTCGAGAGATTCAAAACGTTGATACTTTCGGTGAGTCGAAGGATCGCATTCGTGATGTGTGGTGTCCACGGTGAGTTTTTCTGCAAACCGATGCCATAGGCAGATCGACCGAAGAGTGCACCTCGTGTACGCAGCTCACAGTTCCGTGCCGCTTCGAATTCCAGTCGAGTGGAATCCCAAATGAATGCGTCCAAAGTTCTTGAAAGTTTCCTATTTCAATCATCAATTCCATGATCTTCGCCTCATTTTATCGTTTCATTTAACATTTGTTCGTGTAATCACTTCTGAGATTCGCTATCCAATAGGGATAAACTTATTGCCGTTCGAATAAAAATCTTGAGCGGATAACAGATAACGGATGGTTTTCTTTACACTCTGATAAGTTATTCAGCTAGCCTGATGATTTATACTTGTTATATGACTGATTGGTAGATCCTCGTTTAAGCTTTGAGGACAACTTCGCTAAATGGAGAAATTCACTAACGATAAGTGGACAATTTTGACCACACTCCTCTCTTCGAGCAACAAATGATTTCAGTCGAATTTTATGGAACGAATAACTAATTATGAGTACAGTTTGAGATTCGAACTGAACATTCAACGGGCTACCTTACCCGTTCATGAGAGCACTTATTGCATGAGATGCATGACGAACGTTGTGTGCCTCCATATTACGATGCATTGTCGACAACTCAACGTGACGTTTGAAATACTGATATGTATTCGTGTCTAGCACTGTACCAAACGAAAAATTTGCTGACGGATTACGGAACTGAAGTTTTTTGAAATTGATAGTTGCGAATAGAAATAATTTTCGTCGATTCATGATTTGTATTCGTTCATTCAGCGCCATAAACCATGAGATGAATCAAGGTTATCATTTGATAAATCCTCACTCAGTGGATTTCCATCATTGATCTACTGATGGAGCATATACGAACGCAATGAATAATATACACGACTAGAGAAAGATCACTAGAAGAAGATCAAGGCAAAATTCAAACAGATCAGTTTAGATATCTCCCACAAACGAACAATAACATCTCGACCGAACTGCATGTGTCTGCAGATTTGAGAGTGTTAGCCACAAATATATTCGATGAAATAATTCGGAAGATAGGTTGCTTAGCATTCAAGTGGATTTACTGAAGTTGTCAAGTGAGAACTTCTTCAGAGAGCAGCACCTACTCGAGGATCTGTTATTCCGATAAGGCCTTTATCGGGTTGATCGAGCACAAGAAATGCGGCAAGATTGGCTGTATACGATGCGACCATAATCATGCAGAATCCACACCATACCACACCCAGCACACGAGCGCTACAGCTTCGTGGTGTCTCTGTAAAAACAATCCTCATGATCATTCTAGTTCAGTCTCTGATTTCATTCACTCTTCTCCTGGGTCTTAGTTTCGCATACAATCCTACACTTCAATTTTGATTTTGTTAGCAATCAATGCATTTTGTAAACACAATAGTCTGGTTTATAGGATGAGTTTATGATTGATGCACAATAGCAACAAACTTTCTGAAACGCCACTGTTCAGTAGAACACCCCATACGAACCACATTGATTCACCGAAATCCAATCGATCATCACTGGTCGGCTCAAGGAACGGATCAGTTGGATCGATTTGTGATTTATCGATGCGATAGAAACGATCAAACGGCGAATACAAATCAAGACAGAAAATCGCACACCCAACGAATATCACCGAGACGAACAGCGCACTCCACAAACTGGTTTTCAGTGGTTGTAGAAAAGACTCCATTGGTGAATCACGAGGACGCTGTAACTCAGGGCTTGATTGGAAATTTAATCAGAGGTCCACAGTAACATTCGAACTTTGCTGAGGATAAATGCAGATTTTCGCGAATAGATAAAAACATGAAAATTTTTTAAATATATGAAGTTCAGTGTGAAATTCTGAAGAAAAATTCAAGTTGAGAACCCATTTTTCGAGTATTTTGATGCCATGATAGAGCCATGGCTCTGAGAAATCGATGTACTGCTCTCGTTCTGGATTGATTGTGAGCGCTCCAACGGCCAAATCTGCCTCATCGATATCCAACTCTCCAACCATTCCGCTTAGCACGTAGCCATTCTCGCCCAACAACACCGCACCGTAACTATCGTTCAGATGCAGAGCAAATGTGAAACCCGTATCAACGCTTCCGTTGACCTGAATTCAAATTCAAACCTCTCTAAAGATCTAAATCGAAACATCCGTCGACGAACATATGCAAACGATCAAATGAAGAACGGCAGATATCAATGAGCACTCTGATATGTCCACTTCTTAAACCATCAATTCAGTTAACCTCAGGTAGAGCCAGATTCGCCAGTAATTCAATCGCATAGCCAGCAC